TTTGAGAGGGAGTCTTGCTTTGTTGCCCAAGCTGGTGTGCAGTGGCATCATCTTGGCTCACTGCCACCTCCACCTCCTGTATTCAAGCAACTTTCCTGCCTCAGCCTCCTGAGTACCTGGGATTATAGGCATATGCCACCACACCCAGTAATTTTTGTATTTTTAGTAGAGACAGGGTTTCACCATATATAGGCCAGGCTGGTCTTGAACTCCTGACCTCGTGATCCACCCAGCTCGGGCTCCCAAAGTGCTGGGATTACAGGCATGAGCCACCACGCCCAGCCAGAAGGGCCCCATGTCTACAAAAAATTAAAAAATTAGCAGGTTGTAGTGGCGTATATCTGTAGTCCTGGATATTTGAGAGGATGAGGTGGACAGTCTGCTGAGGCAGACTCCTTGAGCCCAGGAGTTGAGTTCAAGGATGTGGCGAGCCATGATCACAGTCCTACTTGAGCCAGGACCACGGACCAACCTTGTCTCTTTAAAATAAAAAAAAAAAGGCCAGGCACAGTGGCTCACACCTGTAATCCCAGCACTTTGGGAGGTGAGGCAGGTGGATCACAAAGTCAAGAGATCAAGACCATCCTGGCCAACATGGTGAAACCCCATCTCTACTAAAAATATAAGAATTAGCTGGAAGTGGTGGCAGTTGCCTATAATCCCAGCTACTTGGGAGGCTGGGGCCAAAGAATCACTTGAACCCGGGAGGTGGAGGTTGCGGTGAGCTAAGATCATGCCACTGCACTCCAGCCTGAGCTACAGAGTGAGACTCTGTCTCAAAAAAAAAAGATGATCTGTAAATTCGTATTGGATGAAATATAATCATCCAACAATTTTAAACAAGCATATTTAGTCTTACACTTTTAAAAATCACCATGTGGCTATATCAGTATTCTCCTCCAATAAATGTGCTTTTTTTTCCTCTTCAAAAAGAAAAAAAGAGTTGCATCCTCTGACCAACAGTATGAGAGTGCTTGCTTATTTATTTATTCATTTTGACACAGAGTTTCGGTCTTAATGCCCAGGGTGGAGTGCAGTGATCTCCGCTCACCACAACCCCTGCCTCAGTCTCCTGAGTAGCTGAGATTACAGGCATGTGCCACCACAACTGGCTGATTTTGTATTTTAGTAGAGACATGGTTTCTCCTTGTTAGCCAGGCTGGTCTCGAACTTCCAACCTCAGGTGATCCACCCACGTTGGCCTCCCAAAGTTCTGGGATTACAGGCGTAAGCCACTGCACCCAGCTGAGAGTGCTTATTTATTTATATACCTCTCCGTGTTGGTTTTTTTTTTTTGTTTTTTTTTTTTTGAGATGAAGTCTCACTCTTGTCACCCAGGCTGGAGTACAGTGGCATGATCTCAGCTCACTGCAACATCCACGTCCTGGGTTCAGGAGATTCTCCTGCCTCAGCCTCCCAAGTAGCTTGGGCTATAGGCACCTGCCACCACACCCAGCTAATTTTCATATTTTTAGTAGAAACTGGATTTCACCAGTTACTCAGGCTGGTCTCAAACTCTTGATCTCAGGTGATCTGCCTGCTTCAGCCTCCCAAAGTCCTGGGATTACAGGCATGAACCACCATGCCTAGCAGCATTGGATATTATTTTAATTTTTTCTAATCTTTGAGTTGGAAAAGGTTGTCAGATTCTAATTTACATCTCTTTCAACTAAACATCATTTCATAGGTATACTGGCCATTTGTATTTCTTTGAATTGTCGTTTAATACTGTATGTCTAATTTTTATTTTTACTGATTTGTAAGAACTCTGGTTTGTGACTCTTAACCTTTTTTTGTTTTAATCAGACAGGGTTTCACTCTGTCACCCAGACTGGAGTTCAGTGGCATAATCTGGCTCTCTTTAACCTCAACCTCCCTGCTTAGGCAATCCTCCCACCTCAGCTCCCTGAGTAGCTGCGACTACAGGTGCATGCCACCACACCTGGCTCATTTTTGTAGTTTTTATAGAGACAGAGTTTTGCCGTGTTGGCCAGGCTGGTCCTTGAACTCCTAGACTCAAGTGACCTGCTTACCTCACTCTCCCAAAATATTAGGATTACAAGCGTGAGCCACCACGCCTGGCCAGTGACCTCTGTGAACTTCTAAGGTTTGGGCTACAGCAATTCTGGCATTTAATTTGCTTTGTCAAAGGTTAAAAGTCATTGGCCAGGTGTGGTGGCTCACAGTTGTAATCCCAGTGCTTTGGGAGGCCAAGGCAGACAGATCACCTGAGGTTGGGAGTTTGAAGCCGTCCTGACCAACATGGAGAAACCCTGTCTCTACTAAAAATACATGGTTGTGCATGCCTGTAATCCCAGATACTCGGGAGGCTGAAGGAGGAGGCTCACTTGAACCTGGGAGGTAGCGGTTTCGGTGAGCCAAGATTGTGCCATTGCACTCCAGCCTGGGCAACAAGAGCAAAACTCTATCTCAAAAAAAAAAAAAGTCCTTTGTGGAAAATAGTGGAATTTTAACTTTGTTAATGGGTGACATATTGAGTTTGTTATGATATATGGTTCTCTTTGGGGAAACATGATTTAACCTAGTATAACACGGTTTTTGTTGTTGATGTTGTTGTGACAGAGTATTGCTCTGTCACCCAGGCTGGAGTGTAGGGGTGCAACGTCAGCTCACTATACCCTTCGCCCCCTAGGTTCAAGTGATTCTCCTGCCTTAGCAGGAGTGGCTGGTGTTACAGGCATGGCCCACTATGTCCAGCTAATTTTTATATTTTTGGTAGAGACGAGGTTTCACCGTGTTGGCCAGGCTGATCTCAAACTCATGACCTCAGGTGATCTGCCCACCTTAGCTTCCCGAAGTGCTGGGATTACACACATGAGCCACTGCACCCAGCCTAACATGATGTATGGCATAGGTGTATGTACACTCATACTCTCCCGTATGTAATCTTCATAATGAGTAGAAAGTAACTGCTGAACACTTTGTCTCTTTTTTTTTTTTTTTTTTTTTGAGATTGAGTCTTGCTCTGTCACCTGGAGTGCAGTGGCACAATCTTGGCTTACTACAACCTCCGCCTCCTGGATTTAGGCAGTCCTCCTGCCTCAGCCCCCTGAGTAGCTAGCATTACAGGCACCCATACCCAGCTAATTTTTGTATTTTTAGTAGTGACAGAGTTTTACCATATTGTTAGGCTGGTCTCAAATTCCTGACCTCAGGTGACCCACCTGCCTCGGCCTCCCACAGTGCTGGGAATACAGGCATGAGCCACTGTACCTGGTTCTCTTTGTCTGTCTTAAGGTGAAATTCAGAGTGTGGTTAGCCCATAGATCACTAGCTGAGATCACTGTACTAGGCCAGCTATTTCTAAAATGGAAGGCTCAGAAATTTCTGTTCCTCCAAACTGGGATATTCTTATCATGTCAGTGAAGGGCATATTTACCTGATGATTGCAAGAGAAATTAAGAAAACATGTAAAATATCCTGACTTTATTTCTTTTGAAAATCAGATACCAAATTGCTTCAACTTTTTCTTCATAACAATAAAGAGTCCTTGCATTTTAGGAAGATTGTCATTTGGCCCATATGTAATTATGGTTCGATATCAGGCAGGTTGATCACAAACAACAGGAATTGACTCTGGCCAACTTGGAGCTTGTTGGGAGGACCTTGGGGCCTATGGAGTTGGCAGGAGGCTACCAACTGGAGGCAGGCTAGAAGCCAGAATGTGGGGACTGCACAGCAGGCAGTCCCTCAGCAGGAATAGGAGCAGCCTGGCCTGGATAATGCTGCCCTTGAGGTGGTGACCTCCAGCCATTCACCTATGTCCTCAAGACTGAGTATTCCAGGAAGGTCTTACTGATGAGTTTAAGTCACATGCCCACTGTTTGGCTATACTGGGAAAGGAGAAGGGAAGATCTTACCCTTAGTAGCTGATGTTCTTGTGAGTGGCCTTTGCCAAGGATTACATTCCCTGAAGACTCGGAGGAGAAAGGGTGAAATTGCCTAAAAGGAGGAAAGAATAGGAATGGGTTTGAGGTCGCATCCCTGCCCAAAAGAGTCTTTTTTTTTTTTTTTTTTCCTTAGACAGTCTTGCTCTGTCTCCCAGGCTGGAGTACAGTGGTGAAATCTTGACTCACTGCAAGCTCCACCTCCTGGGTTCAAGCAATTCTTCTGCCTCAGCCTCCCCAGTAGCTGGGATTACAGGCGTGGACCACCACACCAGCTAATTTTTATATTTTTAGTAGAGAATGGATTTCACCATGCTGGCCAGGCTGCCTGGTCTCGAACTCCTGACCTCAGGTGATCCACCCGCATTGGCCTCCCAAAGTGCTGGGATTACTGGCATGTGCCACAGCCTAGAATTTCATTTGATCCTTACAACCTCACAAGACTGAGCTGAGAATGTTTGGTTAAGGCATGGAGCCTTAGTGCATCTGAAGTTCTTAAAATTTTTCCTGGAAGCTCAGAGAAGCTGATTTACCTGCCCGAGGATATTGAGTGACAGTCCCAGGACTCATTGCAGGTCTTCTAACCGATAATCTAGTGGATTTTCCACTCTCCCATCCTACATTTGGTCTTATGTGTCTCATTTGGGCTCATTTTTCTTGCAGGTTACACAAGAACAGGCTCAGTCTTTCTGGCCCAAACTCAGGACCGGCTGATCTCTCTGAAGCGCATCAACTCAAGGCTGAAGTACGTAAGAGTCTAGAAGCGTGTCCTGACTTTACCACACTGGCCTCTGCCAAAGAGCCTGTGAATGTCATTGTCCCTTGTGTTCTGTGGCAGTGTTATAGGCATCCCTTCTGAGATCATCTCCCCCAAGAAAGTGGCTGAGCTTCACCACCTCCTCAACGTGCACGACTTGGTGGGGGCCATGCATGTTCCTGAGGATGCAGTGGTGTCCTCTGCTGACGTGGCTCTTGCCCTGGCAAGTGCCGCCTCCCAAAATGGTGAGCAGGTTTTTGCATTTTCTTAAGATGGGTTAGTAGGGAAGAGGTTACCTAAGGAAGTGTCCAACTCAGGTTTGGAAAGATTATCCCCTTTGGGGTACTCAGCTTCCATTTTTGAACAGTGTGTCTTATGATTTTATTTATCTGTTAATAAGTGTTTTACCTCAGGGCCACATTTTTAAAGTTCCAAAGAACTTTAGTTTTGATTAATGCCCTTTTGTTTTAGTGCTAATTAATGCCCTTTTTTTTTTTTGGGAGACAGAGCTTCACTCTTTTTGCCCAGGCTGAAGTGCACTGGTGCAATCTTACCTCACTGCCACCTCCGCCTCTTGGGTTTATGCCATCCTCCTGCTTCAGCCTCCCGAGTAGCTGTGACTATAGGTGTGCACCACTACAACTGGCTAATTTTTGTATTTTTAGTAGAGACGAGGTTTTGCCTTGTTGGCCAGGCTGGTCTAGAACTCCTCACCTCAGGTGGTCTGCCTGCCTCGGCCTCGCAAAGTGCTGGGATTACAGGCATGAGCCACCGCGCCTGGCCCAGTTAATGCCATTTGGACTTAGGTGATGTTTTCCCCTCTCAGGACCTGAGAAGCTCCAAGGTGAAAATATACCTTGGAAACTTAATACACAACTGAAATCACACGGGCTGCATTGAGCCCGTGTTACTAGTGTCCAGGGTATCATATTCATGGCATGAGCAGATTAGTACTTAAGGTGCGCTATTTGCATTCTGTCTTCTCTGCTCCATAGTTTATGATTCCTGGAATTTAATGACTGTGTTCCAAAGTCTGTTTTTAAACTGACTTGCTATTTTCAGTCTTGGGCAAGGCCCATTTACATAGTCTCAGGATGTGATTCTAGGGTTTTTTGTTTTTTTAAATTAAAGCATTGAGCCAGACATGGTGGCTCACGCCTGTAATCCCAGCACTTTGGGAAGCCAAGGTGGGCAGATCACCTAAGGCCAGGAGTTCAAGACCAGCCTGACCAATATGGTGAAAACACCATGTAGTTAAAAATACAAAAATTAGCCAGGTGTAGTGGTGTGCACCTGTAATCCCAGCTACTTGAGAGGCTGAGGCAGAGAATTGCTTGAACCCAGGAGGCAGAGAGTGAGCCAAGATTGCACCACTGCACCCCACCTTCGGCAACAGAGTGAGACTCCATCTCAAAAAATAAGTGAAATAAAAAAGCATTGACTTGACTTTGCCAGTGTTTCTTTTGGATGGAGAACCTGTTGCAGATGCCTTTATTCTGAAACATCAGATGAAGCACCAACTCTTTCTTTACCTTGGAACAGGTGTTCAGATCTATGACCGGACATCTGTTCTTCATGTAATGGTCAAAAAAGGTCAAGTTACTGGAGTGGAGACAGATAAAGGACAGATTGAATGCCAGTATTTTGTCAACTGTGCTGGCCAGGTAGGTCAGCACCAACACTGGGCACTGATTTTCTTATATTATCTTTTTCTCCAGGATTTTTTTTGGGGGTAGAGAAGAATAGTGTGATTGATTATATAGATATCAGTAACTACATTGTTTCTTGTACGGTATTCTAAACCAGAAGCCTATGCTTAGTCCACAAATACAAGCATGTGTGACCTTGTCTTTCCACCACACTGGGCTGATTGGTGCTATCCTGGTCAGGAAAGCCAGCAAATGGTCAGGTGTTGACATGAATCCTTGGCACTGGGTCTTGGTGTTACATTCATTCTACAACCTAGCAAATAAAATATTAGGCTATTTTATTGTGTCAGGAATGTGGACACTAATTTCCAAGACACTAGGCTATTTCTTTTAAGGCAGATTGCCTTCCATGCTATGATCCTGAAGTGAACTGGGAAATACTTCTGCCATGAGAAGTTCATTTAGTGATTGCTATTTGGGGTTTGTAGTTGAGCCCAGGCATTTTATCGAAAGGACCTCCTTTGGTTCCCTTGAGCTCCTTGACTAGCTGGTAAATACCTCTTCCTTTGCTCTCAAAGTAATTTTTATGACTTAAAAAATGTAGTATTGCTCCCCATCCAAATAATTGAACTAAAGCAGGCTGACTTCCCGTACCTGACACTGTAGCAAGAGCCCACATAAGCCACTTGGAATTAATCTCTTTTCAAGAGGCTGAACTTGCTCATTTGTATTTCTGTTCCTCTTCCCACCCACAAATCAACCTGTCCATTTGTAGTGGGCATACGAGCTGGGTCTGTCCAACGAGGAGCCGGTTAGTATCCCGCTACATGCCTGCGAACACTTCTACCTCCTGACTCGCCCCTTGGAGACCCCTCTGCAGAGCAGCACACCAAGTGAGGACTTGTACTTTTTTTAAAAATCTTGTTTCTTTGCCAGTATCCTGTCCTCTGAAAAGGAAAACTTTCTGCTAAGGACAGACTGTGTCTCAAAGAGTCTTTCATTTCTAGAGCATGTTACAGGGAGGTGGACCCAATTCTGACTTTATTAACTCTTTATGAAAGGATGGCCAAAATTTCCATTAATTTTTTTTGCTTTTGTTTTTTGCAAGCTAATTTTAGTCCTAAACAGAGGTCATTGCGAATATTTGGACTGTTTGTTGACTTTTTAACTTGAATGCTGTAGATTATAGAAATGTCGTAGATGAACGATAGACTTAGGTGGGTTAGTAGTTCCAAGCACTGTAGGCAAGTGTTCTCATATCGTTTTGATGGTCTTCATGCCAAGAATGGGCTCTGCAATCCCCTTTTATGTTAAATTTTTGCTTGGCACAGTGGCAGTTACATGGTTTGCTTTTGAGGACTAGTCAGAGCTTCTAGGTAAGGAATAATCAGAGAAAGTCTGCATTGAAAGTCTAAATGGGAGGCTCTTCCCCATGACCTCAAAAGGTATTTTAAAGCTAATGAATTCCTGTGTTCATTGAATGTTATTTCATTTTTTAAAGCTAATGAATTCCTGTGTTCATTGAATGTTATTTCATTATTAAAGCCATTAATGGGTGTTGTTTTGTTTTTCTGTCCATTTAGAAAGCTGGCTTGCTTCTAAACCCTTGTTTTATCTTCCACTCCCTACTCCCGTGTCATTTCTCTTCCTCAGCTATTGTGGATGCTGATGGAAGAATTTATATTCGGAACTGGCAGGGTGGCATCTTGTCTGGGGGCTTTGAGAAGAACCCGAAACCAATTTTCACTGAGGGCAAGAACCAGCTGGAGATTCAGAATCTACAGGAAGATTGGGATCACTTTGGTATGTGAACTGGATTATAACAACAGTGCCGTATTGCCATATTGGTCTAATATGTTATATTTTTCCTTTTCTTTCCTTTTTTTTTTTTTTGCCC